GCAGTTAAATTAATGGCCGAACCTAATTTTTCATTCTGGTAACAATATTTTGTGACATTCTAAAAATGAAAATTTTGTAATTCAATCAAATCAGCTACTCTTTCAGCAGTTACTTGAATGCTTTAAGTGAGTTGGCAGCGACATGTCTATAGCAAGGGTATAACAAGAACCTCCTAAAATTTCAATATATGCAGTAACTTTCCACAGCAAAATAAATTTCACTTCAAACACAAAAGTGGTCCCTAATTTCCAAGCCAATAATGTTTTTTTTGGCAGGTCTCTTAAAAATAAAAGTCTTATCAAAGTACGCCGTTGAACATTAAATATCTCGTTTTGATAATTCTGTCAATTATGTTCGCGAAACTGCTAACAGAAGCAGCACTTGATGCCGACATATGAGCTCTTAAGGACCGCTGTGAGAACTCTTATGAAACCTGTTCCCCTGGTACTTTTTGTCGATAAGGAGCAATATTCAGAGATTTTATTTAATTACTTTTTATGAAAGGTTCAAGAAATAAAAAAACCTTTCTCCTTTACACATGAGATCTTCTTTAAAAAAAAGGAACGCATTTAAAAGCAAAGGATAATTTGCAAGAAAACAAAGCCCACGTCACATCGAGGTTTTGGTCAACTCATCCCGCTTAAAACTTATCCCGCGGGATAAGTTGTCCGCATTAATATTTTTATTATTTTTCTTTGGTCAACTCATACCGCTTTAAAGTAAAGGTAAAATGTATTGTATTATTTGAAATATTTGTACATTCATCAACAAAAGTGTTTGGGGAAAAAATTAAACACCCATAGCTTGGTTAAGCTGATATAATCAAAAATCACAGTAGTTTCATTTATAGAAATTTAAAAAACAATAACTATTAAAATTGCCCTTGATTAATATTATTACACTGTAAAGTATTTAAACAATCAGAAATCACAGTTTTAACTATCAAAATCAATAAATTAAACATAAAGAAACTAGTCAAAATCTCTATAGTTTCATTAAAAGTTACGTATAAAAATCTAAATTTTCTAAAAAGAATATTTAACAATCAAATCTATAACATTTATCAATCAAACTAAATAATTAACAACTAGTTTTTAGATTATAACTGGTTTACTTAAAATTAGTTAAAATCACAGTCGTTTGATTAAAAATCACGTATTAAAAAATGTTAATAGTCTTAAAATTTGAAATAAAACTAAAAAATTAACAATTATTAACAACTATTTGGATTCTTAAGATTTACTTAAAACTAGTTAAAATTATATTCTATGATTATAAGTCCCAAATAAAAATGCACGAATATAAAAAAAAACTTACAATTAAAATCTGAATAAATAATCATTAAAATCAACAAGATTAAATATTTGACATACCTATATAAAATAAAATTATAGATACAAAATTTACGACGTCATTTAAACATAGTCAACTTCTTAGTTTTTCTAAACAATGTCCTACTGTGATTTGACCGGTGATTAGTTGGTTTATGGCATAGTCAATTTTTTTCTTGTTCTCTATAGTTTCAGGCGATCTCGTCGAAATTTTGAAGCCGCCTGTAGATTTTCTTATAATGGAGGCGAAGAAATGTATATCTTTGATTAAGCCCTCCGAAAATTGAGCAATATTCGGTTTTGATTTAATATATTTTTTGATGTGCCCGTTCCATATTTCTACAACATTATTTGTCTTATTCATTTGCCGGAATGTACACCAAGTGTCTGCGAGAACCGAATTTTCGAGCCAAGTTTTCACGAAGTAGTCATTAAATTGTGTGACACAGTTGCTGTTTGGAGCTTCCTCCATCACGTAGAGCCATCCTTCATTAACTAACTCGGATGGGAGATGAGACAAAGCAGCACAGAGTTTTACATGAATTTTGCCTAATTGTGTTTTGCATACACCTAGCGCCTTAGCTTTACGCCAGAGACTGCGATTGAAGTGGAAATAGCAGCCCGTTATTTTCACACCCGGGAAGTTGCTTCGAATTGCCAATATAGCTGGAACTTCAAAATCAACTGTAATGTCATTGGGGTCCCACTCAGTTATTTGACTTTTTATTATTTGAAATAACAGCTCGTACGTGGACATTTTCTTATCAGGTAACAGAGCGTATATTACTGGAATGACATTGAGATATTCTTGACTGCTTCCAAGCTCAGCGTGAATAGTGTACAAGTGATAGAATGGCTTTGGACAAACTTTGAATGTACCATCCATGTAAAATTTCTTACAAGTTGCCATGTATTTTTTCAATTCATTATCAGCAAATATCAGAATACGCGTTTTCCCATGTGCGTAATCAGCAAATAATATCTTTTCAAATTTTTTCGGCACTTCAACATCTTTAGCTTTTGCAAAAGTTAATTTTCTTGCTCCTATTGATTTATTTCTTTTTCTATACAGCATTTTTTGTACACTATTTAGAGCTGGCAACTTCTTTATTAGATCTAAACCACGATCTTCCAGAGAAGCCATATTTTCTTCAAATATTTTTGAGATCGGATCAGACAAATTCTCCTGTACAGCCTTTGAGCACTTCTCCATTTGCATTTTTATCTCAACTTCTGTTGTATTTAAGGGTTCATGACTATGACTCGTTTCATTCATTATCACATCAAAATCAGAGTTAGTTTTTATCGTCGCAGAGCATGTTTTCATTTTCGCACACCGCCACAAGATTGATTTGTCATTATTTTGTCTTTTAATAACGTATTCATAGCCATGTCTTGTTAACATTTTGGAACCTCTTTGAGTAGTACTGATATTTAGAGATAGATTGCCACGTGAAGTTGAAGGGCTATCTTCATACATTTTGATGGTTGATTCTAACGGGAAAAATAATAAGCATTAAAGATTATTAAGTACTACGTATAAAATTCAGTACTTAAATAATTTATTGGGAGAGAATGCTTTAAGATATTCAGTTCAAAATTTGTATTTTTGATTCTGCGGGACAAAAAAAAGCTAATAAAAAAAAATTCAATAGCTAAAACCCGACTACTGAAAAATCACGCTCTCAAAAGTTTGAAACAAGCATTCTCATCTGAAATAGTTATGTACAAACTATTCAATATTTAACGTCTATTAAATAAACAACTTGTTGATGTTTAGAGGATAGCCATGGTCGTATGCTTTTATATGCGTATAACAAAAATTAAAAAAAAAACCTACTTTAGTAAAAACAATTATTAAATTTACTCACCCAAGGAACGAATTGAAAGCACTTATAACTTGATATTGATAAATATGTATTTAACTGTTCACAAAAAAATCACACATTCACACACATTCAATCACTTTAACACAACTAAGTACGAAAAAATAGAAAGATGCACTCAACCCTTCCTATTGTGATAAGTTTCTTGTCTGTGATTGGCTGAAAGCAGGTAGTCGTATTCGCATTTCCCGATGAGTTGACCTTGAACTGTCCTTTACTCAAGCAATAGATTAAATGCAATTTGTACGTTTGTGGTTGCGTTGTTGTATTACACATAAAATATGCACCAGGAAATCATTGAATTTAGTTTAAAGCACTTTTCTTCATGTCCGTACAAGACGTAAAATATATCAGCGGGATGAGTTGTCCGATTCAAAAATTCCACTAGGACAACTCATCCCGCGGGATGGGATTGAGCGGGATGAGTTGACCAAAGACTCGTCACATCAAGCTACCCCAAACTTTCAAATACCTTGTATAGATTTTGGACTTTACAACAGAACAATTAAGTTTGCTTTTAAATCTGTTTGTATGTAATACGCGTGTATTGTGTGTAGTAACATATGCACTATAATTGCTTCACTTCCCTGTCAACTAATATCTTTGGTTAGCGCCTAAGCACAAAACATGAATGACCATGGAAACTATGCGTTAATTGGTCATTACTTTATCGAATTGTTAAAATCTACAGTTTCCTTTGAATTTTGTACGGGATTGTATACTTTTATATCAAATAAAAAACTAAGCTTAAAAAATTAATAGTAATATTTTGATACCATATTAAAAAAAAAACTGATTTCTTCGGCTGAGCAACTACAGATAACATCTGCAATCAATATTCCTCATCTATCCATCTAGCTAATAGCTACCATACTTGGTACTCTTGCAAAGTCTGAGGCCCTGGTACGCCAAACATTTTAATGAACCATCGCCACGCTTAATTAAGATATCGCGAACCTCCTTCCATCTCATTCGCTCCTGGTATGTCTAGATAATTTCCTGTTTTATATCTAGGTTCAATGTTGGTCTAGATTTATCTAACTACTAAACTTATTTAGTACTAATATAATTTCTGTGTTTTGTGTGGATTTTGGTAGTTGTTTTTATTATAAATAATGTGAATTAGTGACAAAAATGGATGGCTGAATCCGATTTTCTGGTCTTGTAAAGAAACAAAACAATATATAATGATATAGGAGCTTATCAATTGTCGAAATTCTCCGTACTACCTACCTAGTGCAGTGTTTTAAATATCTAGAAGTTCGTCTTGTATAACAGGAAACAGCGCTTACAAAGTTTTATTCCACATTCAATCACCAATATCATTTTAAGAAGCTATTGAGTTCAATACATGTTAAAAGCTAATAAAAAATATTCAGACAAAAAGTGTATCCAATATCTCATGCTCGTAAAAAAGTGTAGACAGTTCCTATTCGTTAGTGTACTTCCGATCTACAAATAATTTGGCAACTAGCCGTGCGCGCCAAAATAGTCCAAGTATTAATAGACCAAATTGGAATGTTATCTATCAAGCCCAAGTTCGTTGACCTTAACAGCTGTTTAATTTGGCCGTGTTATATTAGAAGAATAAATAAACTTGTGCAATTTTTAAATTGCGAGCGTGTAGTTCTAGTGTAGTAAGAAAAATAAATCTTGTTAAGTAGAGTTAAGGTTCAGTTTTAGTTGTAGTTGTGGTTTTATTTATTAGGGCAGTCATTGATCTCAAAAATGCTCTTAAAACAATTTGACCACAATTTGACTAATTGTTTTTTGTAATTACAGATGAACGAGACGCGATACAAAAGAAGACGTTTACAAAATGGGTCAACAAACATCTCAAAAAGGTAAAGATAAAGGTTTCCTTTTTTAAATTTTTTATCTTATTTTTTATTATCTGTGTGTCACAATTTGCTCATTTGTTCATGTTACGAAAGTTAACTGATAATTAAATAAAAAAAGGTAATTGATAAAAAATTTAATTAAACTTGAATCTGTAAGGTCAATTGAAAGCGGTTGGCAATGTAATTAGTATAATTATTTTCAAGCAAATTAATAAAACTTGGATGAAAAAGTACCTAATTTCAAAATGTCACAAAAACCTAAGATCGATTTCTATATCAGTTACGAAAAAGTATGTAATCGAAGATAGCACTGTCCCAAAAGGTCACAATAAAAAAAAAGAAAACTGCGCACGAGTGTCGAAACAAAGCTTTTTACGCACATCAGTCACGCGCATGCGTCGGTTATTTAGCAAACAAACGATTCATAGTCACACCACTAACTTATACGTAACAGAATTTGGCGCCACTCACACATAGAAGAACAGTGCAATAAAGGTCTTTATTATTCTGGTCAAAAGGCGTATTACATGATATCAATTTCTTGAACATACAAGAGTAATAATTGCTCATTTTATAAAGTAATTGTCGGCAAACGAACTAACGTATTTCCTGATGGTAAGCTGTGGGCGCAGCCGATGATCACTGGAACACTAACGAGGGGTTACACCCACCTTTTGTAGGTTTGGGATATTTAGGATACTGGATTGGACATTTTTTATTGTGAGGGGAAATCATCAAATGACTTCTCCTGCCCAGGTGGTGGGGCGGGAGGGAGTGTCAGAATTGTGGTACTACTTACTGACTAAACCCAACCGTCTCCGTTCCATCTCCTGCTCTAGACCGAATCCGCGGTACTAAATTGCGCTTGCCCTGGCTGAACATCAGCCCTATAGGGCCCCATCTGTGACGTCCTATTGGCTACTGCATTGGGCATTGGGGAAGGATTGAACCTCCGGCAACCTTATTCAAACGAACGTATGACGCGATGTTCTCATAATAAAATCATCACAACAAATTCTCACTTCAACTAACATTACACGTCGACATTCATTGAGAAATCGTGAGTAGCGTGTCACTTGGACAACAGCAAGACAACCTACACTAAACTGTGTAATTACTTCAATAGATACTCCACTTTAATGTCTTGTGATAAAGTTGTAATTTAATTGAATAAGGACTTTAATGTGTATAATAATGTATTGTTTAATGATCTGTGTCGCGTATACGCGCACTTGACTTAGTTTTGTTGACTGATGATGTAAAGCTTTGTCTACGTGTGAGTGGAAAGATAAAAGCAGGTTAAGATAATTTTATAGGGAAAACTGAGGATAGAAAAATGGAAGGAAATTGGGAACGTCATCATCATCAGCCTGGTCTCGTTCACTGGTGGACAAAGGTTTCTCCAATTGCGCGCCACTGAGCTCTATGTTCAGCTCTACTCATCCAACCACTGCCAGCCATCCTGCGGATATCGTCAGTCCACCTAGCTGGAAGGGGTACTTTACTTAAATAAAATGAGGACTTCTCAATGCTTTAAAATCTATACTAATATTATAAAGTGGTAGTAAGTTTGTATGTAAGGGGTACCTAATCTTTGGAACCGCTGGTCGGATAGCTACAATATTCCTGAGTGCTATAGGCTATAAAATATTACGCTACGAGCGAATGAAACCGAGCAGCGGGTAAAACCGCGCGAGAGTAGCTAGTATGTAATAAAAATAAAAAACATTATTGCTCATTGATATACTTAACATACGTTTTTTTTGTTTTGTTTGTTTTAAGAAAACAGTGTTTTCATTAATTGACGCAAAAATACAGATAGACTTACCTACTGACTAAAACCCACCCCGTTCCTTCTCCGTCTTCCAGCAAGAGCCGCGGTGCATTAAATAATATTACGTTTAAACCTGCATCTTCAGCTGAACATCTCTAAGATACTCCCGTCCAGTCCCATGACATGCTAAAATCAAAAGACAAAATGCCAATACATATTCTAACATGTTTAAAACTATTTCTATGATTAAAACAACATCCGTGTACAATACAGTCTTAAGTGTTAATAGTTCCGTGTCCTGCACATTTATTTCTATCCGCTAATATGTCATTCATACTGCCTGAAGCTAAACAAGACATAATTGCATCATAGCTTGCATTTTCTCTCCCTTTCCATACAGCACACGTGCAAGATGTCAATCATTAGACTGTGCTATCAATAATGCAGTTTCTAATCCTTAATCTGTCGTAAGCACCAAAAAAGGAGGTTGCGTATCGCCCTTTAATTTCACTTGCATTTACTGACTATGAGATTTGTGTAACGTGCTTGGATTTTGTTTTTTTTTAATGGAAAGCATCAAGGGATTCCTTTGCCTGTCATTATAAGGTGGGAGGTAGTGTCAGACTCTTACTGACTAAAAGCCGAGGCCCCGGTAAAACATCGAGGCATGTTTTTTGAATCATGAAGTTAAAATTATTTCTCTTTTTATAGTATTTTTTTTTTAAAGAAACTTTGCCCGTCATCAGGATTTTCTCCTGTGTCGTGTGTGCGGTTACAAACATATAATTTCACATTTACATGACATCCAGACCCGGGACAACAATTTGTGGATCACACAAAGAGTTGTTACGTGCGGGAATCGAACCTGCGACACGTTGCACGGCAGCCAGTTGCCCAGATGGTCTTCTAAACTGAGACTTGTGGTTGGTGCTAATAGTAATGCAGTTCCTTGTGATGTCATTCCTTCCAAAAATGGATCTTTAATTTCACGTGTACTTATTGGGCGCGAAATATCCGATAGCATGCAAAGGTATAATGATATATTTCAGTTATTCAATGTTGTTTGTTACGACTTGTACCCTTGATCTTTGTATTCCTATTGAGAATCCCTTCATCATTTTGCATTTCCAGGAAAACGATATGAGAATTTCGTGCTTAGTTCACAAGCTGACATACTTAACATTGACTAGACTGAAATAAAAAAATCAGGCAAGCAGATCCTTAATAATGAAAAGGTCGGTCATCATTCACAGTAATTTTATTATTATTTATAAAAAATCGACCTCAATTTAATAATCCTTAAAGTCATTAACCTTACCAGAAGTGAGAACAAAGCCCTAACACATCAAATAATGGATTCCTTTGTCTGTCTGTCTGTTTGTCCGTCGGTAAACATACAGGGTGTTACTCCTTATTGATTCACCAAACATTTGTTATGCTTTTGGCGATACCACTTCAAAGGGCTGCTTTGAGGAAACTCGGTCTGTGGCCAATGAGTCAGTGGAATTCAGGTCTGATGATATCACAAGATATTTAGATGAAGGGAAGTTAATGTAGCTAATAAACTGATTAGCTTTCTTTACGCAAAACTAACTATCGGCAAACGAGCAGACCGATTACTTAAAATGCCAAAACGATATTTAAATTTACGATTTTCTATATAATATTAAGCACGTTCTGACGACAATATATCTTCTTGTCGAAAAGCATAGTTATTTTTTCCGAGTTTAAAAACTAGTCAGTAGACCGGGGTTTTGTCCGTGTAGTAAGTTGATAAAAAGCAGTCTCTGTGTTAATCCAGGCTATCACCTATCTACATATCAAATTTTAACCAAATCTGTTTAGCCGTTTTAGCGTGAAAGAGTAACAATCATACATCGATAAATTCTCACAAACTTTTTAATTTAAAAATATTAGTAGGATGTACCTAAATCATAAAATTAATGGATAAATGAGTGTTTATTATTAAATATTTTTATGGGTTTTTAATAATTTATTTTCGATTGAGGAATCTACGTGTACCAATACAAAATGTAAAATAATACCGAGTGCAGTAACTGCACCTTTCAAACATTTATGCTGTAGTTTCCGACATGATAATATTTCACAATGAGTGCACGTGTGTGCCTTATGTAGCTGCGAAGTGAAGGGGCAACCTGGACATTTGCACTTACCATTTAAGGCAGTCAGCAAATACCAGGCGTGACCTGTACAACTAGATTAGTATATAATAATAGGTAAAAGGAGAATATTAAGATCTGAAGAAAATGCCATAATTCTATCCTACCAATATAAACCCGAAAGTTTTATAAGTATGTTTGTTAAACAAGTAAAAATTGCTGAACAAATCTGAGTGAAATTTTCTTTAGTACTGCGGGCGAAACAGCTGGCAGAAGCCAGTTTATTATTAGCTCAAATTTTTCTCTTATGACCCCCAATCCTGAAATCCCTAAAAGACCAGCAACAGACTTCTGGTGATGCAGATATCCATGGGCGACGCTGGTTGCTTACTATCACTTGATCCGTTTGTTCGTATGTCTTTATGTATACTATCTATATGTATACTTCTATACTAATATTATAAAGAGGTAAAATTTGTAAGTTTGTATGTAGGTGGTAAACTTTGGAACCGCTGGTCGGATTTCCAAAATTCTTTTACTGATAGATAGCTACAATGTTCCTGAGTGCTATAGGCATATGATGCCGAGCAGCGGGCGAAACCGCGCGAGGGTAGCTAGTATCCCATACAAATAAAAACTCTCAAATCAAGATTCTTGAGACTTTATTTTTCGTGTCGTGGTTTCCCATGTACAGTCACTCACATTTGAAACACTGTCAAACAAAATTCACATTTATTAACATAATTAATTAGGTCCCAGCTTGATCCTGTTTATTTATCTGCCTCGAAGATAACATCAGTAATTTTAGCTGACGATAACTTTACCGAACAAAGAGTATGCACTGTATATTGTAAAACTGACTCACAAACGAACATTGTGAAAGTTGAATAAAAAACTTTATTTATAGTGACGTAATGTTTAAATTTGAATGGGCTCCTTGTTCAGGATGTTATGGGTCAAGAAATATTTGAAAGGCAACGAGGCTGGTTTGAAAGACGGAGATATACATACCTACCTACATGTGTATATGCGAATTTGATTGCTGTTTTATTTTATTGAAGAAAAAGGTTTTATTTCCTTGCCTTGCCATGACGTGACGTGACGTCAGA